GAAGGCTGAGGTGGAAGGATCGCCGGAGCCCAGCAGGTCGAGGCTGCGGTGGCTGTGAGCATGCCACTGCACTGCAGCCTGGGCAACAGAGTGGGACTCCAACTTAAAAAAAAAAAGATTTGACAAATGAATCCCTGCAACACGGCACTTTTATTTTTTCTTTTTGGAGTCTCACTCTAACCCAGGCAGTAGTGGAATTGCATGCTCACAGCCACCGCAGCCTCGACCTGCTAGGCTCCGGCCATCCTTCCAAGGAACTGGAACTACAGGCACGTGCCACCACGCCCAGCTAATTTTTTGACTTATTGTAGTCAGGGTCTTGCCAAGTTGCCCAGGTTGGTCTCAAACCCCTGGGCTCAGGCAATCCTCTTACCTCTACCTCCCAAAGTGCTGGGATTACAGGCTGAGCCACCACACCCAATCTTTTTTTTTTTTGAGTGGAGGTCTCCCTATGTTGCCCAGGCTGATCCTAAACTCTTGGGCTCAAGTGATCCTCCCCCTCTGCCTTCCAGTGCTGATTACAGGCACGAGTCACGCTGCCGCTGTGTAAAGCTCAGTCGTGTCACCTTGGAACCAGTGGGGACCTCTGACTTGATGGGATCCCAAGGCCAGTAAATTTCCTATGTTCCTTTGACTCTACAGGGCCCGAAGGCGCATCCCTGCTTTTTCTGATAGAACCGTTTTGTCGTTTATATTATGGGGACCTTGTAGTGCTCCCCGACATGTTCAATTCCAGGTGCATTTGGGTTGGCTTTCTTCCCACTGTGGGAACGCTGGCTCTAGAGGGGTGGAGGGACAGGTATGTGGTGTGTGTACAGGACGTGTTTCCCAGGTTTGGGGTAATGACCGTAGCCTGGAGGGCTGTGAGGGGACCAGTCTGCGCAGCCTTGGTGATGGCACTGTTTTGGCTCATGCCCGTGCGGGACCTGCCTCAAGGTGGCGGTGTCTATGGGATAGCTAAGTGGGCCTTGAGACTGGAAGCTGGCGCCCGAGTCAGGAGCCTGGGTCCCACCCCATCCCATCCCATGCCCCCCAGTGAACAGCATGCAGCAGGGCTGTTACAAAGGCGTTTAGTTTATTCTCATCAGTATTCACTGACGTCCTCATGGTTCACATTTGCCAACGCTGCTCCTCTCCTTACAGTAGTTAATGTGCAATCTCACGTGGGGGCCAGGGAGGGGTGGGGCACGGCCAGGGGCAGAAGGGCGTTGGCACTTCATGGGGGCAGGGTGGGCAGCCTGCCCCTCACGAGAGGCGTGGGAGAGTGGGCTGTGGGGGAGGGGCACGGGGGCCCACGGTCCTTCTTCCGTGGTCGGTGACTCCCAGTTTGTTTCCTTCCTGGCTGCCCAGGGCAGGGGGACCATGCAGCTCAGGGGGGGATGGGGAGAGAAGGAAAAGCAGCAGACCGCCCGGAGCGGGGTGCCAGGGCGTGGCGGGGCATGGGGGCACAGGGGTGGCTCCTGGGTAAGGCACAACCCTGTCTTTGGCTCTCCTGGTGAGGAGTTTCCTCCCCTGC